CGTCTATTCCGCAGTCGCCTCCGACTTCGTACTACAGCGCCAAGCGGTCACCCGCTATGTTCGAGACGCACTGCAGAAGGCAGTGAACAAGCAGAAGGAGAACGCCGATAAGACCGGCCGCAAGAACACGGCCACGTTTATGACAGGCGAACGCGTGCTCCTGTCGGCCGAAGGTATCAGAAACTCTGCGGATACCAACCTCGGCGCGGCCAAACTCGCGCCGCGCTTAATTGGGCCGTTTACGGTAATCAAGGCCATTAGTGATGCTTACACGCTTGACATTCCTAGGTCACTACGTCTGCATCTGACGTTATACGTCGGACGACTCAAGAAGTATCATCCCGCTACGATTCCAGAGTCTCTACTGAGCCGGAGCATGCGTCGAGCGACCTTCTCGACGGGCGCGGCGAGCCATCGATCCATCCGCACTAGGAGTCGGATCTCGAGGCTGTGCCCCCGTCTGTAAGTGTCCGTGAACCGACCTCTCCAGCATCTGCAACCGAGCAAGGAACTCTCAGTTAGACTGACGCAGCTTCGCACTCTCCCCGGTGGCCCGGCCAGCCTGATCGAGAGCCTCATTCAGCTCCTGCTGGGCATCCTAGTAGCGGTTCAGCAAGTCGTTCTCGTTCTGGGCAGCCAGAACGCCAGTGTTATCGACACGGCGGCCCCCCTCCCCGTCCTGTTGTTGACGCTTCCGGAGATACCCGCTGGATTGTTGAGCACATCGTTGTCCACGAAGATCCACTTCGAGCACCCAAACGTCATCGTGGGCTCGCACACGATGTTACGGCCGACCCTCGCTATCGGGTACGATGGATCGGATTTCCTCTCGACGAGGGAACCACCATGTGATGCATGCCAGCACGCACGAGGAGAGCGACTCGAGTGATCACGCGAACGTGATCGAGACCTATGACTCGGTCGACCACGTGAACAGGACCGAGATCTGCGATTTGCGCGACCTCGCGAACGTGATCGAGAACGACGACCTGGACGACCACGCGAACAAGATCGAAGATCGGCGGCTTAAGCGGCGGCCCGAACGAGACCGAGTCCGATGCCAAGAATCTTCACGTGCAGGGCGTCGGCGTGAGCCGGCGCGACTAGAGGCGCGCACGTTCTCGGCCAACGAGCGACGATACTTCTCGATCCACCCGTGCTCTTGTTCATCGAGCGGATACTCGGTGATTTGTATTTTTCACTACTCGACAGTCGGACGCGATCCAGTACAAGTACCACAACCTTCCGCGACCCTCACGTAGTAGATGCGGCGCATGTCCTCCCATGCGCTGGTGCAGACGCGCTCACGAGCAATCTCATTGACGATCTTCTCGCGGTACACCAGCCAGCCGACGAAGCTCTCCACTTCTTCCTGCGTCCGGTTCCAGCGCTGGATGAAAGCGCATCACGACTCCTGCAAGGCGCCATATGCGACACCCTCGACGGGTTTCTGCCGCAGTCCGCGGAAGTGCCGGAAGCGACTCTTCATCGTGTCCAGTGTGTCCGGAGCCCGCGCTCCGGATATATTGTAGAGAGCCCATGCCCGGAGCTGGTCGTCCATCACGTGCGTGCCGCGTGCCGCTGCTGTCGACGACGTCGCCGTCGTCGGTGTTCCCGTCCACTGCTGACCCATCGTGTTGCCTGTCACGTTCTCCGCAAGTTAAGTTGTGTCGCTCCTGCGCTTTGCAGAAGATACCTCCGTCTCTGTTTCGCTCCGCCCGTTAGCCAACTTCCCGTTCGCCATTCTCACGCAGATTCATTTGTTCTTCGACCACTGCTCATGTTGCGTAAGTGCAACTTTTTTGTAATGGGCCCCTCCATTACATAAGTAGGTAGATTTCTTTACATAAGTAGGTGTATCAGCACACGCTTGTCGTGCTGAAATGCTGTCATATCATTGGCTGATATATGGGGAGCCAGACCCATTATTAGCCAATTGAACTATGACGTGTATTTGAGTGACCAGGGCTGTGGCATTGGTCCTAAAATAAACTCAGAGTTGATTTTTCCTTAAACCTAAGCCTCAGTCGTCCTATTGCGAGCTTCCTCAACACAATAGTGTAAGTAGGTAATGGAGCTCTACCAAAACCTACACAAACCGATTTTTGCGTCTGACATAGCTGTGACGTATTTGCTGTCACAAATCGGTAGTAAAATGCTGAGACGTTGTTCTTGTCTCCACAAAATGTGTCGACGCACAATTGTACCTCATTTCTGGTACAGCTATCAGTGTCCAGTCAGTCATGTCCACTTCTAAATACTCCTGCCATGAGCCGCCGCAATGCTGGAAAAGGACGGGGCTTCACTACGCCTCAAGTTGAATGTACGTACCATAATGCATCACAAACAGGATCTCACGAATACATTTAGCGTTGCTTTTACTATTGCTGACCTCCTATCTCTCGTTGAGCAGCTCCACGATCTCGACTAGCATACAACGTGTACCAGGGAGACTTAGCAGGATCAATGTGTTAGAACATTGCGATCAAAAGCATACATACAACGCAGCCGTAGAAGCAACAACACCTGCTTCTTTAAACGCGCATTCCGGTGCTCGCACGCTAGCACAAGTCGCTGGGCCCTAGCCCTCAAAAAGGTGAATGGCCCGCGTACATGTACCCATAACGTTAAAAGTGTTGTTGGTATGATAGCAGACATATCACAAATTCGACATATATTTCAACACATTTCACTATCAAATTTGTGCATTTGTGTAGGTTTTGTAAGAGTTCCAATGGAGTAAATACCTGACCCGTTACAAGGCTCAGCACACCACCGGCGAGTCACCACCGTGTCCACTCGGCGTCCGTGTTGTCGCTCTGCCCACGCGATATACTGCTGTCTGTACTTATTCATTCCTCCTTCAGTCTTCGACTTCAGCAGGTAAGTGGGCGCGAATCGAGAGAATCCATCCATAATGACAAGTACAGTACTGCGTCCCATTTTGAAGTCCTGGAATCAACAAGTCTGCAAAAATCATGTCATTCACCTTCTCAATAATTCACTTGAGCTTCTTGCAAAATGTCTTGTGTCACTGCTTGCCGAAATGACAGTCACTATAATCCATATTTACGCGTTTCTTCAACATGATGGCCTTTGCCATCTCGCGATTAGCCATCAAATGAATGTACTCAGGACATGTGTGCCTTAGGCGCGTGTGCTAGTCGTCGAGATCTTCAACTCCATCAGGCACTGCAAAATTTGCCACTTCACGCTTCCTAACAGCAGCCGTATTATTGTTGCTGGTCTTGACACCACCAATATTGTGCGCGTCAAAAGTCCATAGACGATAATCTTGTTTTGTATGATATACCTCAGTGCCATCCTTAAGCATGCCGAAAATCATTGCTTCCTGATCTAACGACATCTTAAAGTCTCGCTCTAGTGCTTGGCCCGGCGAGACCAGATTGCATCCAGCAACGGGTACATACAGTACACCTTCTACAAACAAATGCCATCTCTTCATGATCATATTAGCAAGTAGGATCGTCCCAAAGCCTCCCGCCTGGGCATCAACGCCATCTGCAAACTCCGAAATCGTCGAGTTTCAGTCGCTGTCCTACATGCTGTTCGACACTGGGAAGTACTGTTTGCTTGTCACAATGTGATCGTTGGCTTCGCTATCGAAGTACAAACGGCTTGGGTCGTAGGTCTTAGCGACGCGCTTCACCACGTCCCCCACTACCACCTTGTAAACGTGGTCGACAAATTTGCCTGTCTTTCGTGATGGCCCCTAGACTTCTCGCCTGTGCGTGTTATCTTGGTCTGTGCTCGCTTCTTGGTACTAAAATTATTCTTCAGGTCGGGGCGGTTGCTCTTGTAGTGCCCTTTAACACCGCAGTTGAAATACTCGATGTCCCTTTTCGGTGTCTTCTTCTTGGATACATCTCCAGTAGATTTCTTGTTGCCGCCTTTATGGTTTCCGGAAGAATGCCCTTGCTTCTTGAGGCCTCGAATGTTGTCAAAAGCACTCTTTTCCCAGTCCTTGCTTCGAGACTTAGCCTCGAAAATGCGTTTTCGCAACAATTATTGTGTATATTTGCCCATATTGAAGCTAAATAACGCTTGCTTGCGAAGCTCGTTGTAGCAAATCTGCGTTGGCAGGCCCCACATTAGCGTATCCACCATCTCAAGGTCGTTCTGTGGCGCGGCAAGCTCAGAGGGCTCGTTCTTTATGCGAAACATGGTGTACAAGTGTGCACGCACGTCACTATTCGCACGCAGATGAGTCCGGTGCAGCTCACCCTGTAGGCGATAAACTTTCTGCGCCTTGGTGGCATCGTTGCTCATTCCTTCGTATGTATTGCATAACTCAGTTCACATGTCGGCACCGTTCTTCTGGTCCATCAACTGTTGGTCTAGTGTAGTCTTCAGTGAGCCCATGATCAGCGTCTGGATCGAAGTTTTCTCTCTCATAATGATCTTGCGGCTTACAAGTTAGAGCTGCACATTGATATGCCATCCAAAGGTTTGGATTCATCAATTCGTGAGTTTCGGTACACCGCCGACATCTGCTCACTTTCACAGCAGCTGCAACATTATTCTGCATACCACTGTCGATCATCTTAATGACATCAAAAAGTTTTTTTAAAGAGCACGTAAATTCAACTTCTGTGAAGATTAATAATCAGCAGTATCCATTTCCCAATATGAAATCAGACTGCTCCTTCCGGTAAATTGTCCAACCTCGCTACTCCCGCCAGTATGTTCACTCTATGTTGTCTTTTGGAGTAGAAATCGTCGTCGGGGTCTTGTTCGATAGCCTCATGATCGGACTCAGAACTTGATTTGGAATCCGAATACGACGAATCCGAACTCGATTCCAAACTTGAGCTCGGATGCAGTATCGCAGCCCCTGAGGGTGTTATTAAGAAATCGCTCAACTTGTTTGTAGCGTTAGTAAGTTTCATTCTCCCTAGCCTATTGTTAGAAACCGCAACGTTTTTTGAGACGATCTGAGAAGTTGAAGACTTCTTTAGAACTTAGCTAGCAGAGTGATGGTAGAAAGGCACTGATTCCGCACTAGGCGGGCCTGCCTTCAGTCCAAAAAATTCCTTTAACTAACCAAGTTGTTTGTGAGTCCGTTCGATCCAGCTCCGACAGGGTTACGAGTCCAACCTCAAGCGACTTCCTGCGCGAGCAGCTTAACAACGACAAAATGCCGTTCTCGAGCGACTCAGACGATGACAGACGCAAGGGCAAGAAGAACAAGGAGTTTCACGTCAACCCGTCCGGCAACCCGGTACATTGGGACGGAGAGAACGGGTTTCTACAAGAAAGCCATGGCTGTCGTGCTCCAGAGAGACTTGTTCGAGTAGATCGCAGCTGGCAAGGTCAAGATAGCCGACCGGTGGAGCCAAGATGAAAAGGATGAGCACACAAAGAAGCAATCCTAGATCCGATGCGTTCAAAAGCGGCAACTGTGGTTGTCAACAAAACCAGTCCGCCCGTTGTAAGAGCTACTGGGCCACCATCGAGAAACGGTAAGCTACACGACCACGGTCGACAATATGATGCAAATACCGATGTCTCTGCACTTCGCAGGGTTGAAAAAGGTGATGTTAACAGACGACGATGACGACCAAAAAGCGCGAATTCTAGACTCCATTGCTGAAGTGCTCGATCGGATCTCAAATTGTTTTGGTCTCCAGCACGATTTTTATTCGTATCACGATTTTGCAATCGTCCTGTTTTCATACGTGCAACGGTACGGGTTCCGTCATTTTTTTTTTTAATCTAACCCAAAATTTTGATTAAACGTGGCTCTAACATTGTAGCATGACGAAAAGCCTATTCTATAGAAGTACGCAAGCAATAGTCCAAGAAAGGGAAAACTAGCAAGTAGAAAAATCGAGATCAACAAGTTTGCTTCAAGCACTTAGATTCTGACAGTGACTTATTTTGTATTTGTAATCACAAAAAATCATTTGATTTTTAGCAGAAGAGTTGTAGTAAAACATGGATAGAGTTACCTCGATGTCACAGTCTGTCAATTGAAATTGTTCGCGAGTAGTCTGAAAACTGAACGATGACCGCGCCTGGTAAACTACCCAGGAAACGTTCTCACGTAGAGGCCTTTAAGGAGAATGAAGATAAAGGAGACCAACAAGAAGAGGATAAGAGAGTTGACGACGATGACGAACAAGGCGCAGACCATGATTTGGCGGAGAGGATCGCTCCAGCGGAGGAGAACTCTCCCGCAGTTTCTGGCAAGGAAGACAACTTTGACGTGGAGATCAGATGCAAAGTGCCCGATGTGCCCCTTGTTACAAAGTACAGAGGCGGCGAGTTCTACTTTGTTCGCGCGTGTTACAAATCCTACTATGTGATGGTGGAAGATCTGCTGCTAAAGGATGGGAAGGAATGCGTGACAGTGACCGGGACCCCAGGTGAGTTGTTAGTTGATATCCAGCATCAATGGACCGGTTGTCATCTAAATGGGCACTTTCCTGCAGGAATTGGGACGTCGATCTTCTACGCCTATTTCTTGGAACGGTTCAAGAAGGCCAACCCAACCTGGACTATTATTGCGTCAGCGCATACTCCGGAAGCAGGAGTCACATCGTTGGCTGTGTTTGAGCCTGGTGAGAAAGCCAAGCACTATCCTTGGGTAGACGCGATAATTCTAAGAACTGCGATTTTGGACGTACTGGGCATGGATCTCAGTGATAAGACAACCTTGAAGCGAGATCGAAAGAATTTACTTTGGCTGTGTGATGGACCACCACAGGGAGCAACACTCCGCCGAACGGTTGTGTTTACAAGCCCAAACGAGAGATGGCTGAAGGAAGTAAGAAAAACACTTTGCACTTACTATATGCCTCCCTGGAAACTTGAAGAGCTGCAACTAGCTGCTTCCGTTCTGGGATACTCCATTAGTGATGATGAGATGGAAGAACGATTCTGGAATTTCGGTGGAGTGGCCCGCAATTGCTTTTTGCTTGAGCGAGAAGAGGTTGTGCTTACTATTCAAGATTTGACGAAACCGATCCAGCAGATTACTAACCGAGGACATCTCGAAAACCTGCTTACGAATAGGATAAACACTACCACGAACCACGATTTCTTGTATTACGAGCCCATTGGTGATGGAAGGTTAGTAGAAACGAAGCTTGTGTCCGAAATGGTGTGCAAAAAGCTTTCGGAGCGTCTGCTGGGCGTAATAGATGGCAGAATGAATGAAGTTAAGGGATTGCTTGACGGCATACCCCCCGCTGCTTCGCTAAGAGGATCGATGTTTGAAGCCAAAGCGCATGCAAAGCTTCGCGACGGACTGAAGCTGAAGGTATTGGAGTTGAAGGCACAAGGAGTGTCTACCGTCAATACGCGACAAAAACGGGAGACTTTTGACATTGAGCAGAGCGATCCCGTTGATGATTTTGAGCACAGCGCGTTGTCTTCTTTGCTACTGAACAAAGGACCGTACCATCAGCCGAAGTCGAAAACGATGGAGTCAATTGATGGATTCTACTTTCCAAAAACACCTGGTAGCACGACTGCGACACCGTCAATGAATACTACGAACAGGCGTATACTTTTCTTCCAAATGACGGTCTCCAAGACCCATCCAGTGCGTGCTTTTGGAATCATTTACGTACTTGACAGACTTGGTTTGTTGGAACTAGTCAAGGCCAATCCCAAGCGAGCTGCGCTTGTATTTATGGTTCCTCAATCTGGTATGAAGGACTTTGAACGACAGAATGTCATCTCTGATGAGGTGTTGCCACATTCGATCAAAGACATAAAAGGCATTGGACCCGCTACAGCGAGTACGCTTGCAGAGTACGGAATCAATACAACAGTCGAATTCAAGGCAGCCGTGGGCCTCTTCAATCAAGGAAAAGTCACGATGAAAGCGAAGAAGCACAGATCCGATTGGTCACGGGCCGTGAGGAGTTGGGAGAAGCATGTAGGGCTGAACACAGCCGAGAACATCACAATGGCGGATAGCATTCCCCAATATGTGGCGCCGTCTGATTAGCCGTCAAGGTCTGCTAACCATTCTTTTCTTTTTTTCCGTCTTAGAGGAACACATACCCAGAAAAACTATTTAGGATAACACCCAAAAATATCAGAAAAAAACTTGCACGTTAGCAGCTGTAGCAATCAATGTAATCCGGAGTATTTAGAGGGTACAGCAATTCCCAACCAATGAAAGCAACATTTTATTATTAAACAAAAATGCGATTCACCGCTTTGGCGTAGTCCTCGCGTCAATTCACGTACAATACCACTTCTGGTAAAGGCATCTTTCCAAAGTGAGGGTCTGATCATGGTCACATAGATCCACCAGCGTACTCAAGCACTCGTTATTCCGAGCAAGCATTTCGAACGGGGCTTGATTCTTTTCACCCACCACTCCTCTAAAAACCCACTGCAGTAGGTCAATGAGTTCCGCAAAAAAAACTCATTTTTTGTTTTGCTTCGTTGCAGGCCTGCTCTTCACGGGCAAAGCTGTCATTTATAATGGCTACATCAGTGAGTCTGAGCTCGCCCCAGGATCGACAAATAGCTATGGGCGGCTCTGACGTTACACCGATCCATTCATTTTACTACAGGCTCGACAAATGACGATAAATACTGATCCCACTTCGCATCATTCTGCTTCGAGCCAAACTGCTGAGCCTCAACGAGTAATTTCCCAATACTCAGACCGCCCACGTCACAATTTGACCTTCCAGCAGATCATTTAAAAACGTCATATCCTTGTTGATCGCTCCGTCCGGTAAAGTCGTGGCTGCGTCTTTGAAGTGTTGCAGAATACTAAGAAGCCGTGTCCTGAAAGAGTCCACCATGTCAGCGGGTATCTCGTACATTTGCAGGAGATACTTCCGTGGCTTGTGGCAGCCCCTGTATTAAATCGAGCAGCTGTTATAGGGGTATCCCTGTGAAGTATACAATTCCAATAACATACAGTACAATTCAAGACGCTTTGACTTGACAGAAGGAACATCGATAAGTTGCTATAGAGTGTTAGCCATGTGCCACACTGCTTGCAATTCGTCGTGTTTTAAGTCGGCCAGGTTGCTCACTGCGACGAACTCCATGTTTTCGAAGATCTTCCTCGATTTATGATAGGCTAGGTCATTCACGAAGACACGAGCAGCTTCAGCGACTGCGGTAACGAATTTTTTTTCACTAGATGACCTTGGCGAGATAGGGAATTGGGCCTTTAAGGGCGACCGTAGCATTCAGAGCTGTTTCCTGTGGCTCTCGTACAGCACCACGAGATAGTAGCTCTATACGCTGTTGGAGACGAGAGCCAGCATCTCGAGCGGGGCGTTTAGCTACTGAAGATTGCGTTGGCTTTGGAGCTTCTCTCTTCTTCGGGTTTCTTTTTCTTCTCACACTCTCGTTTTGCCTGAGTCTTTCCACCAGAATGGTCGGGCTTTTTATGCTTCTTTGCTTATCGTGACAATGCATTAAACAGCTATCCACACTTTAAACCCATATTGAGGAAAACTGTCTCCAACCTCGAGAGTCTATACGCTTTTCGAATGACTGAATGTGTGGATGAGCGCTACGCTTACCACCGGTGCTTCTGAGTTTGAGTGTTTGAGTGTGTTTAAAACAGAGTGAGTGAGTTAGATGGTAGTGTATTACTACAGTACTTTGTTATATTAGCAGAGCAACAGAAAGCGTTGATGACTTTATTTCCAGACAACAATGTGTTCAAACCCGGATAGATGGCGACAATACATCCTGAAAAAGTGTATGTGCGTTCGCTTGTGATAGGGTCCCCATTCCATTTTACCTACTTGGTGACACCACTCGAGTTCTTTGTCTTTTTTTTCTTTTCGGCGCGCTTCTGACCGGCTTTTGGTGTTTGAACTGGCACTATTGCAAGTTTGTGCAAGCGCCTTTGAAGCGCTTTCTTTAAAAAAACTTCTCCAGTCATACGCTTTGGCATTGTTCTCAGTTCGTTGACACAAATGTTCACAAAAGGGTCTCGACTTGGGTCCCACCCCACCGCAACGTGGTTGACCAAAGCTTCTACGGCGTCAAAAAGCTTGTTGATTTCAGCGTCAGGCACGGGTTTGCCACGCCACTTCTTCATTTCAGCAAAAGTTTTCGCTGAACGATGACAAATCTCTTTCAGGTATTTGCGTGTTTGCACACCCGACGGTTCAATCACACTTGTTGTCATTCTCTCGACTAATCTGTAGCACAAACGACAAGTAGTTAGACTGGTGTTCACACAGCAATGGATTGTATATCACGCGTACTCGGCGACCAGATGTCTTGTAGGTTCAGGAATCCGATTCACGACACGTCGTGTAGCGTCAAAGAGCATTCGATAGATCAAGAGTTGACGAGGCCGTTGAGAATTTTCACACAACCATTTCGACACCGTGTTAAGCGGCTTTAATACGGACTGTGTGGGAGTGTCTTGTACTTCACAGGCAGCTCTTTTCTTGAAAGCTACGAGCACCTCAAGTAGACGACGTTCTCGTTGAGCTGGAGGAAGACCACTCATTGAACCCACTAACTTCGAAAACAAGGCGGGGGCCCTCCCTGGCATCGCTGTGTCGAGTCGTGGTTTTGAAAACTTGCCAAGATTTTTAACTGCAGACACGAGAGCACTGAGACACCTATTTGCAAAAAAAAACTATTAGAAACTAAATCCATAAAGTTAAAGAGGTTTGGGCCGAAAGAGTACCTTTTGAGCTCTTGTTGTTCCTTTGACTGTGGAAGTCTATGCACGAATGACTCGACTGCTGCTGCATAGTCACGATACAACTCCAGGTGCTTAGACTGCTCTTCACATTCGCTAGCCCGCCATCTGACTAGAATTTTCAATGCGTGTGCCACTTGAAACCGACTTGATCCAGTAATATCTTCTTCCACCGAACGTTTCAATGCAATCAACATATCCGGGATCACAAACGCTCGATCCTTTGCCGATAATTTGTTCATGTCGTCCATAATTGATTTCAGGCGGCCTGCTGTTTTTGACGCAGCAATTTTGGGTTGGTTCGATGGTGTCTTCTTTTCTATCACTGGATTCTGCTTCTCGGAAGACGTTTCTTTATCCTCTGCCGCGTTTCTCATTAACGCTTTCCAAGCAGCTTCGCTGCCTTCAACCTCGTCACCATTCTCATTGTGAATTTTCGACTCGAAAGTTGAGCTAAACTTAACATTAGAGTCCATGGCAGACTCTCGCTTGTTTGTCATAACTTGCTGGGTCACGTTACGCTCCAAACGACCATTGTTATTCGGACTAGAGGGTACTGTAACAGTCTGAGGAGCTCGTTCTTCTTTATCGTTCGTGCGTGTTTCCATCTCGGACACTTGTTCATCATTCTCGTCTCGCTTTCTTTTATTTCCCAGCGCGTTCACCGTCAGCCCGGAGCCGAGATCGTTAGTTTTATGCTGAAGCTCTCGCTGCAGCATCAGTGTGTTCGCTAATGCGGCAATCAAACTAGCTCTGCGTCCACCAGTCGAGTCGTGGCCCTGCTCTAGTTTCGCGATAGCATCGAAGACCTCCTCCAGCTTGCTGAAGGCTGTTACTACATCACTAACTGCTGCACTTACGGATGCGATTTCCTCTTGGAGCACAGCATTGTAGCTCTGATGTAGCTGCTGTGTTGGCACGTGTGCTAGCACGCGCTCATTCAACGTCTCCATCCAGTGGCTGTGAATAGAAATACAGTAGAAATACAACCAAAAGTTGCCGTATCTAAATTTGGGTAGCAGAAATTTGTTTAAGTACTACTTTTTTTTGTTAAAACACGTATTGACCAATGAGCTAGTTACTTTTTTAGAATCGTCTTTAAAGTCGATAAGCGCTGTTGTTTGCCATCTAATCGAGCTTGCCGATGCCGAAGTTGCTTGTGGTCTGAGCCCAAATCTTGTCAATATTGCTTGCTTGGGTCCACTGCTGCTCCGATTGGCGGTGGTATACCGGTGAATAGTTGGTAATTGCGGGGTATGGCTTCATCGCCTCGAGAGCTGCTACGAGAAGTGAAATTGCCACTGTTTACCAGTGTATTTTCTTCGCATGGACGACCCAGATACTTCGCACACTCATTCTCTACGGTGGCAGCGTAGAGAAAGCCTTGCCCCTTTTCTATAGAGAGGGTTCTTTACATAGCTAAAGTAGTTGCCTTCGGCTAGCATCCACGCATTCCCATCAAGTGGTTGTCGAGATTGCTAAAGTAATTGTTGGCGACGTGTGCGATAACGGAAGAATTCTTGTCACCAATCTTAAGAGATCGTCCAGACGTCGAGTGAACGTAGTTGTCGAGCAAGCTAACACCTACTTCCTTGCCGTAAAGCAGGATGGTCCAGTAGTGACGACCATTGCAAGAGGCTGAGTAGTCTATTTCTCCGTCAAAGTCCGAGTTACTTACTGTCAAAGACGCGACACCAGCTTTGCTCACGATGAGCATTTGACGTCCAACACGGGAGACCTTCACGTGATCAATCCAGATATTGTTCATTGTCTTTGTACCGTTGATTGTTCCTTCCATAAAGAGCGCGTCACCGCCCCAGACGAGATGGCGGTTGAGCTCGGTGATGTGAATATTTTGGACGATGATGTTGTCGCCTTTGAGTGTCATACCCTTCCCCATGATGACTCCACGTCTGCCAATTCCACAAATGGTCTTATGGCTGGTAACCTTCATGCGCCACCGATAAGCGTTATCGTATGCCACTATCGTTTCCGTGCCGTTCTTGCAGCCACCGGTGTTGTTCATTCCATTTGTGAGGATCACATCTTGGCTCTTAAAACCAGAATTGGCGGGGATGCACTCGCGGGCACTCTGTGGACGGCAACCGATCTCAGTTGTCGCTCCTTCAGTTCCACGAAAGTCGAAGGTATTGTTCAAAACGAGGACGAGCGGCTCCGGCGCGTTCAGATAAGCGATCAATTCTTCGTTTGTGTTCGGGTATACGACGGTGCCATCGGCTCCACCCGCTGTACCTGCTGCAAAGCCCGGAGGTGAGCCGATAGTAAAAGCACTCACACTCTTGACTACTACTGCTAATGCTGCGGCGATAGCAAGTCGAAGATGTCCCATGCTTCGTGAAAAGTGCAAGTTGTCGTGTGGTATGGCTCAGTCGTATCGGAGAATGACGAAACTGGTGAGCTGGAAGTGGAGTACAAGTATACGTGATAAAATGACGTCAACAATAGTACCATAAGTATTACGGCACTGGTTAACGTTGGCGCAGGATAGGCGATGACCTATGGAATTGGGTAAAAGCGTTTACATGTTCTTTTTTTCGCTTCTAAACTTCTTTTAGATAAGTTAAACTTCATCTGACGTGAAAATACTAAATGCTTGGAGATTTAACTAATGATATTCTGGAAAGCAGAATTAATATTTATAGTAATACATGTTTTAGTACCGTATATAAGAAGCAGTTGGCTGGATCCCGTGGCTCTCATAAATAACCGGTATGTGAAACAGTATCAATTTTTGTTTTGGCTGAATGTCCTAATAGTAGAGCTCTCGTTAGTTTGAAGATCGTCCTGGCCTACGTTTGAGTCGAGAAGCTGCCCCACAATAAGATTGAGTGTTTTTGGGGTCTTTTGAGATGCCTCGATAGCGAAGCCCAGTGGTTCACAGCATTACCTGATGCATTACTATCCAATATGGCACCTAACGGCTTCTAAATGTTCTTTCATGATGTTGGACAAGCTAAATTTTGAAAACGGAAGTCGCGAAATTATACTTTATAGGTTAAAGGGGGGGGGGTCCCGCCAGCTGTTTCATAAATACTATTGACTTCCACAGAGCTAGTTCTCAATTTCAAAATCTATAACAGCGCCACTTATCTGCAAGTGAGTGACTCACAAGGATTAAATAGATAGAGCGGATAATTTGGTCGATATTACAACACAAGAATCAAGAGACTCCAAATCGGACAATCGTGGTATCACCGAGCTAAAAAAAACTGGTTTTGTACGGTACGGCTTTGACAAAATGAAACATATATACTACAGTGCTACTCTTGTCTGAAAGATGTTTATGCGTCGATGAACGCTGTCAAGATGTAGAGCCACTTCGAATACTTTTTTTACGGAAATATTAAAGCAGATGATCATCAATAATATTTACGAAATACATGTAGAAAATTCGACTTTTCAGGCGCCTTTACGAAGACCACGAGTCACCAGACTTACAAAAAATCGGTTATTTGGATAGCCAGAATCTGTAGACTATTGACTCAAACGACATTCGCGAATAAAAGTATGGGGTCCCACCGGTCGCTGCAATAAGATTGGTTCGGCTGTTCAGCAAAATGAATCGGCTATATGTACAAGTGTGACGGGCCCCCGACACACACTAGCCATCGTGACACCACAATGACCAATCAGATCGTAGCGAAGATCTACTTGATGACGCGGTCTTGAAGTGTCGAGACCGCGCTGTTAAGAATCGAACTCAGAGTTTGATTTACACCAAGCTTCCTACTTCTAGCGTACTAGTAGCGGGTTGCCTTTAGCCCGTTACACCTGGTAGCACTTTGCAATCCGTCCAGCGATCACGATGAGCGACATATCAATGAATGACGCGCCCAATGCATCCAGCCCGTCGTTGGAGCACGTAATTTGCCGCACTCGAGTGGGAGGCGCTCCACCGCCTTGCGGCAGCATCCGGTGATGCCGTGATTGAGACCTTACTGACGGCCAGCACGGAAGTGCAGCAACGCCTGGCCGTCTAGGAGTTCATAGCGCTTGAACTCACGGACCTTCGTCTACGAGTGTTGACTCACACGCCTTCCAAGAAGACGGCCGACATCGTCAAAATCGATGTCTCCACTTACAGTGGTGAAGACGAAGGTCGCCTGCGCCTGAGCAGATGGTTCCGCGATGTGGACATCGCCATCGAGGATCGGCAACTGTCCACCGGTCTCGCGCGCACACGCTTCCTGCCTTCCAAGCTGTCGGGTAAGGCGAAGGAATGGGCGCTTGGCAAGCTTGTTGTCGACGCTAGCTGCTTCCCAACCACGGCGTCTATGAAAGCCGACTTGCCCCAGAATGATCGCGTCCAACTGTCAGTTTTTCTCTCGCTAACGCAGGGACGCATGTCCATGCTCGAGTGCATCCAGCGGGGTAGGCATATCATCTCGTGTATTACGGCCTATCCTGTGGACATGGCGACTCAAGTTCATGGCCTAATCTCGGGCATGAACAATAGCTATCAGCGCTTCTACTTGACAAGGAAGGTTCCGTCTACCTTGGAGGAAGCCTTCGTTGTCGCTCTGCGCGAAGACAACAGCGTGACAGCGTCGGAAGCATTCGCTGTCTCTAGGACCGAGCGCCAGAACCGGAGCCGGAATCTATGGAGATTGTTGCCATCCGACAGTACGAAACCCGTCGTGGGGCAACGCACTCCACGGCCACGGTCATCGACGCGGAATTTGCGCCCGTTGAAGTGTTTTCGCTGTTAAAAACGCCTGGTCATAGCGCAACGGTGGTCCATGCTCCAGCGCCCGTAGTGGCGAACGTCACGGTTGATACCGACGTCGCCGCTGCTGTCCAAGCAAATAACGGCGACAACGAGTAGGTGCGGGGCGCCCTACAGGCCGGGATGGTTCTCCGGTGGCAAATCCTCCTCCTATCCCTCCAGCGCTACGTGCACAAATATTTACCACTACCTCCATGCCATCCAGCGTGAGCACCTCGGATGCTGACGACGGACACGATGCTGTGAGTCATGCGCGTGCTCACTAAGATTCTTCGGCATTATTGAACGGAGTAACGACTCGCACGGCTGCGAGGGCTGCAGCACACTAAATGCGCACGTGCGCTAACACACTGTCAGCGGTCCCATCGACATCCGGCTCCTCAGCTCCAGGCGCCGCCACGTTGGCGACACCAGCGCATACCGCGACTCCCACACGAGCGAGCTCCCCGCTTTGGAGCGCGGTCCCACGTTCAAACACGGAGTGAACTACTCGGACGCTAATCGACCCTGGGAGTCAGCTGCTACCTAGCTCTGGCAGCGTGCGGAAGGACGCGTTCGATCCCACCGCGTCTTGGCCCGCCGGTTTTGAGCCGAGCCCGGAGCCGCATCAGCGCGACGCTGCGGCTGCTCTTGACTTTGTTCAGCGACGCGAGTGGGCTACTCGATATGTTTGAAATGCGATCGCATCTGCTGTGGATCGCCAGAAACAATACGCTGATCAGCGCGGACGCAAGCATCTGGAGAAATTAGCGGGTTTATTATCGACGGCTGAAATTTGACCTACATTAGTGACGAATCTGGGGACGACCAAGCTCGCGCCACGATACCAGAATTAACGTATTTCTTAAAACAGCTATGTTTCATGCAACAACACCTAAAAAAACTTAGAAGACGACGATTTCATTATATTTTCACCACTTCTTCCAGCCAACTTCCTTATTATAGTTGTAAAAACGGTTTACAGTAGTATTAAGTAGAATATAAGACGTCCAAACCGCTAAAAATAATTTATAGAGCTGGGTTAGCTACTCCACAACGACCGTTGCTCTCCCGTGGTCCAAACAGAGCAATTCCGCACGAATAAAACCCCTTTAAATGGTCTTAGCAGGAACTTCATCCCACGCTTAGACAACGATGCGGGTGATGAGATTGCGGCTGGCGGCTGGGTCTGGAGAGAAGCCGTTGTCGATGTGGTGGGCTCCATAGAGCCCACGGCATCGCTTCTTAAAAACACTCGCATGACAGAAATGACCACACCCGTAATTCCAGTCGGGATGAACTCGACTTGAGTATTGCATTCACCTTCTAACTTCAGTCTTAAAGAGTTCATCTTGTGGGGTTTAGGCTGATTAAAAGAAGATATCGAGCACCAGATACGATGGGCTTCCAGACCTAAATTATAAAAAAAAGAACTTTCAAATTAGAACTTCAGCCACAGTAAAAAGGAAACTGTAACCCACCTCGTTTTCCCAATAGAGCATGTGTGACTCGTCACTATAATCTTTGTTTTGAACGGTCAGAATAGCTTGGTGGCGATGCAACGGATTTTGCTGCACCCCCTCCTCGACAGTAGCACCAACGACTCCAGCGAGGATAGTCATTGGTGGAAGCTTATCCCCGGTGGCGGACACACAGAGAAAAACAGAAGCTCTAAAGGCATTTTCTGTCATCCCTAAACATATTAAATATATGAGAAGGTTAAAAGAATAAAAGGATAACGTTTTTTACTACCTTGGACGACATCGATGTGCTTGGCACCCACGAAGTCGATCGTCGTGTTGGGGCTCATGTCGATGTAGACTGCCGTTTGATCCATGTTGAAAAGACGAACTTAGCAGAGCCAACAATGTGGGACATCACACTAGACTCCTCTAAACTGTATTAAACAGTTTTAGAAACCTGGTCAGCAATTTTCTAGAAACATTTAGAAATATTTAAAAATTAGTGTGATCAAACAAAATTTGAGAGCTCTTACAATGCTAACACAAGTTACCTTCATTTCAATTCATTTTGCTGGTGCCCCAGTGAGTGATGCTCCGAAGGGATAAGCGGTATCACCTGCGAAATCTGTGCAGGTACATGATTGCCGCCATCTCAGGGCAACCAGAAAAAAAAATTGGGTTTAAAACGGGCTGCCATGATAAGAAGGCATTCGGTAGTCACACCTGTAAACTTTTCAAAGAAAAAAAGAGCTGTTAAATGATTTATCAATTCCACCATCAATTAAGCTCAAAATTGGTTTTTTACAGCGGGATTTGCATAAGCGCATTTCAATAACCCAGTAAAGCAATCTGTGGTACATAAGTAAGAGGAAGAACAATGCTAGCGATAACGTGTTATCGTTAATTCTTCAAAGCTTTACCTTCAATCCATTACCAAGAACCGAGGATTTGGATCCCGCTTGCCTTCAGTGACTAAGGTTTTGTTGGACTCCTCCTTTGCAGCCACTTCGACACGCTTGGCGTCTTAAACCCAGCGTCACAACGTCGCCCTGCTAACGTCGTACTCGTCGGCGAGGGTCTAGCTGATTCCTAGAGCTTTTGCCGCTTGCACCGCTTCGTACTTCTTGCGATTCTTGTTGGGTGATCTCCTGCCCATTTAGA